TTTTCCATTTTAAATTTTATGCTCTGTTTTTCGCTCAGCAATAAGCAATAAGTTTTTTTAGCCATGCTAATGGCAAAATACTATAAAAATAAAAACTTGTTTACATTCTCCCTACCAGGGAAATATTGTACAAAGACTTTTTCTCCGTTAAAACATTCAGGAGTCATAGAATATATGACTGCTCAGCTGTGGATTTCTCAACATGCATTTCTGTTATGAAAACAACTCTCTCATTGTTGGAAGCTTGTTTATAGTAGAATCAAACGCTGCCAAATATTCATCTTTAACTATTAATGGATTAAAGGGAAACTGTGCTTGGAAAACACAGGGCATGGAACAAATGATTTTATGAAGAAATAAGCCAAGCATGTAATGTTTCCATAAAACACAACCTAGGAGAGTTACGGTACAAAAAGGGCTTCAAACAACAGTAATACAACGTTTTGTTGGGGTTTTTTGGAACACATCACAGATTGCAATGATGCCAATAGAAATCTTTGTCCTCTATAAATACAGATGGATTAAGCAGCAATCTTTTTGTTAGTCTTCTATTGCTGAGTATATATCTGTACAATTTCTAATACTTTATCATCTTGAAAGCAGGGAGTTTAATCACCACCTTAAACATTCCTCTCAATTCTACAGCTAGACAAAATATTTCTCTCAAATCCCACTTATTTGGGTCTTTTGAAACCTCTTTTCAATTCATGCCAAATTTGAGTCATTCATTAAAAAGCACTGATTATTGTACAAAACCCACACAGTTTTCTTCAACATTTCTTCAAAGGAAACATTTCAAAAATGACATTTTATTTTAAAAGCTATCAGCAAAGAGACTGGCAAAGAAGACTCAGTGATCGCGCATCACATTACAACCCTGCTATAAAGAGGGGCAGAGTCTACAAAATAAATCAGTGGGGTTTTAATTATGCAAATTATTATAAAAGACTAACTCAAGGGCTTGCACGCATTTTCATCTTAATGCAGTCAAGGGAGAAGTTAATGGCATGATCCCTCGGGTGTGCAATTAAGCAGGCTCCTACACTTCTTGAAGGAAAGGACAAGGCTTTTAGTCCTAAAGAAAGCAGCCTCCTGAGAATCTTTTTATTTTATTTTTTAAACAGGAAGTGTGGCAAGGCGGAGAACATGATATTCCTGGGTAAGCGCTAACTTCTGCTTCTCATTCATATTTAACTCTGGTCTTATATTTTGTTAGAAATGTAGCTAAAAAAGGCCGCAAAACTCATATTTCATCTGATCTACAGCTACTACAGAAAGGAAGCAAGCCAGCGTTGTGGGGAAAAAATATCTATTCAACATTTACACAGGAAGAAGCCCGCAGACGCTGACGTGCATCCCAGCATCTCAGATTCAGGATCTCTGAAAACAGTTCTGTTCTTGGCAGCGACAGCCCTGAGCAGTCAGGAGCGTGTGCCCCGCACTCCCACGGCTTCTCTTTTCTCTTTTTGTAAATCCAGCATTATTGCATGCATAAAAGATTCATTATTGTTAAATCCAAGATTATGTTCGTGCCACTGAAAAGCTACCCTTAACTTAGAAATTGTATCCTTGTTTTCTTTACAGAAATCTTAAAGAACATACTACTAATATTAGGTTTCTGCCGTTAAACGTAACTTTTAATCTGCAGATTCCCAGCTGGCAGCACAATGGCCGGGCACAGCCCGGTCCCCGGACCCACGCAGGCCGGGGAGCGTCACCCCCGTCCCG